AGGGAGCCCGATGCGGGACTCGATCCCGGGACTCCAGGATCATGACCTGAGCCGAAGGCAGTCGCCCAACCGACTGAGCCACCCAGGCGCCCCCCTCCCTGTTCTTGACTGATCTTCAATACAACAATGGCGGCTGCAATGCTGTACTCGGTTATGCATGCTACAATGACCCAAAGGGTGGCAGGTCAGGGTGATGTGGTTCCAAGTTCTCACACTCTACAAAGCAGTACAGTGTTTAAGAGGAAAACTCTGTTTCCCTACGCATCGAATATGTCCAACCCCACATGGTGGGCCTTCCCACGCCCGGCATGCCTCCAGCTCTCTGCAACACCTGCTGACCCCACAGGTTAGGGGCTCGGTCCCACCAGACTCTCCCCACTTCAGACGCCAGCCCCAAGTAGAGGGTCCCCAGGGTGCACACAACTTGCTGCACAAGGAACTGGCTATGAATTGGAGGTTCCCACAACCCCTTCCTCGAGTTCGCAGAACTCTGGGAAACATGTATGCGCTGTCACTGGTTTGTTATAAAGGGCATGAGTCAGGAAGAGCCCAGTGGAAGTGATGCATAGGGCGGGGTGTGGGGGGGAAGGTCACGGAGCTTCTGTGCCCTCTCTGGGTGTACCATCCTCCCCACGTGGGTGTGTTCACCCACCTGGAAGCTCTCTGAACCCCATAGTTTAGGGATTTCTGTGGAGGCGTCATCACGTAGGCGTGATGGATTATTAATTCAGTCTGCAGCCCCTCTCCCCTCTCTGGAGGCTGGGGGTAGGGCTGAAAGTGCCAAGCTTCTGACTGTGGCTTCGTCTTTTCTGGTGACCATCCAGAGTCACCTCAGGAGCTGTCAGGAGCCACGGGCAGAGACCAAACCACAGTATTTCTCATCATGTCAGTGTAATTTAAAAGTGGACTAGGATTAGGTGTAAATGTATCTTGCAAATTTAGGACAACCCCTAAAAAAAGTAAAAAAGGAATGTAACAAACTAGCTAAAAAAGGAGAAAAAACAGATCATATAAAACGCCCAATCAAAATTAGAAAGAGCAGAAAAAGAGTGGTAGACGAAAGTAACAAAAAACAAGGGCAACAAATAGAAAACTGTAACCAATGTGGTAAATAGTAACCCGATTATATCAATAATCACTTAAACATCAATGGTCTGAATGCACCAATTAAAAGACAAAGATTGTCAGACTAGCTACGACTATGTTGACTCCAAGAAACCCACTTTAAATGTAAAGACACACACAGAGTAAAAGTAGATGAAGAGAGCATGTTAACGCTAATCCAAGAAAGCAGAAGCAGCTCTATTCATTTCAGATGAAACCGACTCCAGAGAAGGAAGATGAGCAGGGATGGCGGGCATCACATGGTGATAAAGGGTCCGTTCTCCAAGACGTAACAACCCAACGCGCCCTGTGTGCATGCCCGACAAGAGCGTGAACCTGCATGGAAACGACTGACACAGCTACAGGACAAACAGACGGATTCACTGTGACAGCTGGAGACTTCAGTCCTCTCCGTCAGGAACACCCAGACCGGCAGCAGAAAATCAGTGAGGACACAGCGGAACTCAACAGAACCATCCAACAACCGGGCAGAATTCATACCTATAAATTACTTCATACAAAAAAGCAGAATACAGTCTTCTCACGTGGAACACTGAGATAGCCTCTATCTGCCGCCATAAACCCCATCTTCAAAAATTTAAGAAAATGCTGGGGCGCCTGGGTGGCTCAGTTGGTTGAGCGACTGCCTTCGGCTCAGGTCATGATCCTGGAGTCCCGGGATCGAGTCCCGCATCGGGCTCCCTGCTCAGCGGGGAGCCTGCTTCTCCCTCTGACCCTCCTCCCTCTCGTGCTGTCTCTCATTCTCTCTCTCGCAAATAAATAAATAAAATCTTAAAAAAAAAAAAAAATTTAAGAAAATGCTGATCTTACAATGTCTGTTCTCAGAGCATAGTGGAATGACACTAGAAGTCTTAACAGAAAGATAACTGGAAGATCCGAAAATACTTGGAAATTAAACAACACACTTTTTTTTTTTAAGATTTTTTTTAAGTAATCTCTGCACCCAATGTGGTGCTTGAACTCACAATCCCAAGGATCAAGAGTCGGACGCTCAACCCACTGAGCCAC